TTAAACTTCAAAGTAGGGTTTTGTCAAAGTATTTTTCCAAACAAATTACCTTATTCATATTTTGTTGATTGGTTTGCAAAATTGAGTGAAATGTAGAGTTTGTAAATCTTTACTGATAACTTCAACAATATTAAATACTATGCAAAAAAAATTTCAAGTATATTAAATTTTTCAAAGTATTTCTCTTTACACTTGCTTGTCATATTGTTATTGTCTTCAGTTTCACAACTTTATTTATTATGTCTCCATCTACAAGCACTGTTTTACTTCTTACAGAAGATTAATTTTTGTTATAATGGACTCTGCTGTTGTCTACAACACATGAAGGCCCAAAATTTATTTTTTGCTTTACTTCATATTTTAGTATTTGTGTCTTCTTTAAGACACTGCTCTGCTTTTTGCAAACCACATTCTGCATCTTTTGCACACAAAATCTTGAACAGACAGTATTCTTCTGAACTTGCCTTAGATTACTTATTTGCTCAATCCTTGAGTGGATGTGACTTTGAATGCCACTTTGGTATGTTTTTCTCCACATATAATGATCAACTGCATACTCTTTAAACTTTGATGGTTGTATTCCAATATGCTCAAAATTATCTTTCTGTTTAACTTGTCTGCCTTTATTAGGCATCACTGCCTGAAGTTGGCCATAAGTAAGAATTTTCAGTAGTCTCATCATTCATCCTAACGTGGTCAAGCCCTTTTAATTGACACTATATCAAGAATGTCTCTATGCTTTGTTATATATTATTAATAGATTGTTTATAATGCTGTTTCTCATGATTACCAAAATTAAGCAATGTTAAGTGAATATTTGACTTTGATTTTTCAGTATTGTAAGAGAAAGAAATTTGAACAACTTTTCATCATAAGCCCTCAGTAACAGTAGCAACTGTCTCCATATGCAAAAAATTAATTTCTTTTGCAAAGGATGTTTCTTAAAGAATCTTATTTTTTTTTTTAATATGTGTGTGGGCTGAAAAGTTCATGGGCTATGAAGGAGTGATGCTAGAGCTGTGAAATCTTGCATGCATTAATTTCAACTCTTTGTATATCTGTATTGTTTGTGTTCCAAGTAAATTGACATCAGACTGTTCAAAGAAGACTTCACAAGTAACTAGTAGTGACTTCTCTTGAACATGGATAAAATTTGGCTTTTTCTTTTTTTTTTTTTTTTTAAAATCATTTCACCCCGAGTAATTTGTGTGCAGCACTTTACAGAGAGTGATAGGGAAGAGACTAGGTATAGTGGGGATTGAGGAAAGGATAAAAGATGAACAGGATTCATGACAACAGAAGATAGCGATTGACATTGCATTTAAATTTGAGAAGATTTTAGTTTTCAGTGAAGCAAGTAAATGGAAGGGAGCTCAACTGTCAGCAAGTGCGAGGAAAGAAACTGTTGAAGTAGAAGTGGTGGTTACATTTAACTATTTCAATTATAAAAGGTTGGGACCTAGATGCCAATCTTGTAGCACACTTAAATTTGCGTAGTCTGGGCACTGGAGAAAAAAGCTTGTCAGAGCAGTTGCCATGAAAATATTTGTAGAAAAGACAGAAGGAAGCCACATCACGTCTGAGAAAGTGATTGAAGTCGAGATGCCAAGTCAGGAAAGATTACATTGCTGATTCTTCTTTGGATTTTGTCAAGAACCTTGTGATGAATAGCAGGAGCACCAGACTAAATATAGCAACAGTATTCAATGCATGGTCAAATGGTAGATTTGTAAATGTGCAAGATGGATTCTGATGAGAAAAACCTTCTTGCATGAGACAATGAACCAACTTTCCTTGCAGTAGATGCTGCTATTGATTCAATGTAGTTGTTCCACTTCAAGTCAGTTGAAAATATGAGGCCACCAAGGTGCAGTGTGATGCTCTCCAGGAATTGAGCATCAGCCTACCCTAATGGTACACAGGGAAGTTTCTCTATGGTGGTTAAATGAGAGCAATTTAGTTTTGGAGGCATTAAAATTTACAAGCCATTTTCTGCTCCAGTTAACCACTAATTATATATCCTTTTCAACTTCAGTGGCCAGGTTAACTTTAACAGCTCTGATGGGTTTGCTATTGAGACTGGAGTAAATGATAGTGTCATCTGCATAAATGCCTACTTGGGAACTGATGACAGGAAGACCATTGATGAAGATCAAAAACAACATAGGACCCAGGATAGAGCCCTGGTGGGGGGATACCTGTATTTGTGCGAAAGGATCTGGAAGCAATCCTGTTCAGAACAATCATTTTATTTCATGATTTGATAGGAATGATTGGATTAATTTGAACAATTGTACTGTAATACTGTAGAGCTGAAGTTTTCATAGTATCTGCAGAAAAAGGGTTTAGACCCCAAAAACATTAATGCTGGACATGGTTGCTACATTACGGGATGATGCTCCAGCTTCATCAACAGTGCAAAAGTGGGAAGCTAGATTTATGAGGGGAAGGGAGTCTTGAAATTGACCAAAGATTTGGGCATTGTGCAACTACCACTGAGAAAAAAAAAATCAATCCTGTTAACCACATGGCAACAGATGGCAAGGAACTTACTCTAAATCAAATAGCTAATGCTATTAACATATCTTGTGTGGGAATTGAGAATATTCTGCACAGTGAACTTGGCATGACAAAGGTTTCTGTTTGGTGGGCGCCATGTATTCTGTCACCTGATCAAAAGCAAACTAGACCAATCACATCATGGGAAAATTTGATATTGTTTGAAACAGATCCAACTGGTTTCTTTGATTCCTAACTCAGAATGAGTGTTGGCTTCATCACTTTGGATCAAAGACAATCTATGCAGTGGAAACACCCTTCCTCACCTGCTCCAAAGGAGATCAGGGTCGTTTCATCAACAGGGAAGGTGATGGCCTCAGTTTTTTGGGATGCAAAAGGCATTGCGTTTATTGTCTATCTTCAAAAGGGCTACACCATCTATGCCAACTTGTTGAGGCAGTTATGGAAGGCTATCAAGACCAAATGCTCAGGAAAACTGACAAAAGAGGTTTTGTTTCATCAGGACAATGCCCCAGTACACAAGATTTTGGTTTCAATGGTTGCTCTGTGTTGCTTTGAACTGGTTGATCATCATCCTGATTTGACGATCATTTGTTCCCCAACTTGAAAAAAACACTTGGCTGAGAACCAATATCAGTGCTGATGACATCATATCTGCTGTTGATGACTTTTTTGACCAACTGGATGAACAGTCAGATATCAGTTGGAAAGGAACAATGCAGTTATTAAGAAGAAGTGTTGAAATTAATACATGCAAGATTTCACAGCTGTAGCATCATTCCTTCATAGTCAGCCTATGAACTTTTCATACCCTCATACCTCAATGCAGTTATTATAAGAAGTGTTGAAATTAATACATGCAAGATTTCACAGCTGTAGCATCATTCCTTCATAGTCAGCCTATGAACTTTTCAGCCCACCCTCATACAAGAACAAATAACAAGATGTTACATTATTCTAAAGAAAAAAAAATGATTTTCAAGATTTGATAAAATCAATTTTAGCACAAAGCTACTTTTTGTAGAACATCCAGTAACAATGATGTACGAAATTGGCACATTGATTAATTGCTCAGCCTCAGGTTCACAGAAGACTTGATAAGTTTTAATAATTACATTATGGTAACTTTGAATTATTTTGTATTTAAATAAGTTCTAGTCTGTCCAACCTTGGAAAAGCATTTTGTTATTGATATTATCCATATGTTCATTTTTGTCAAATTTCTGTTCAGTTTGGTTTCCAATATTTCTTTTCCTTATTCTTTTATTGAATTTTCATACCAGGAATATCTGATGGATCTAGGGATCAAATCACAGTACATCTTGACATATCTCCAGTTTTTGCTGTGAGTTGTACACACCCTTGTCTATAATTTTTTTTTTTTTTTGTTTTTTTTAAGATGAAAAATATCGTGTTTCTCTCATAAGATGATTTTGATAAGTTGCTAGGAAATTATTTCACAACAATCCCATCGAGAATCTTGGGATCATCAAGAATTGCTGAAAATTTCCAATTATTATCAATGAAAAGAAACCACATCACTTTGAACATCATCAACAAATAAAATAGATAACACATGTAACTTGAGAGAATAAAGACATAATCAAGATGCTGGTGTTCAATCCTATTTCAATCATAAAGCAAAGCAGGAAACCCCCATTAATACTGGAAAAGGCGATAACATATAGTGGACTTGAACCTATTTTCCTGAAAAATTGTTTAATGGAAAGATTTTATAAATTTCAACTGAAATTAGTACTGGCTATTCAGGCAATGAATGCCAAATGTTTCCTAACATGGAAACAGCTAATATTAACCATTACCATTAAGTTTGCCCAAAGAGTAGCAGCATTTTTGACAGTATTTGATGCTGGGGACTGTCAGATTTTCGGAAAGATTAAAAAGTGAATGAATGTTCAGAAACCTTGTTTATTTAAAATTATCTTCCAGTGGAAAACCGGTTAAAAATATTCATAGTTTATTAATTTGGTGCTGCATACAAAAAAGTATTTTTTATTATGTTTTACTTTACAACATGCTTTTTGGGCATCTACCATAACGTGGTGGTTATCAACACATTTTACAGACTATTTCACTTGGACAGTACTTTCTATTCTATTTATATTTTGAGAATATTTTTCAAAATAAATATCATATTCCTTCTTTAGATGCCATGAAACCAACATTCAGTGTTGTTCCATTCTCTTCAGATCTTCAGTTATATTTGGAAGAAAGTAATGTTCGACAGTTTGACTGCCCAGAATTGTAATGTATTGTTTTGTATCTGTTTATTAGCAAGATTAATATTTTATTTTACAATAAAGCATAATAGTAAATATTTCATGACTATGAAAAGGTGATAGGAATATCACCTTTTAGGACATAAGGAAGAGAAAAAAATTGTTAAATATGAAAACAATTTTAAAGTATATTTCAAGATTTCTTTAATATTTGATTTTTATTTTTTTTCTCTCCTTCAGGAACTTCTTTCAGAAAAAGTTCAGCATTTGATGGAGTGGAACACAAAGAAAGTTGTATTGCGTTTAAATGGTGATAAATTCAGACAATATGTGAAGACATCTCCCAGAAACTATTCTGTGATCCTTATGTTGACTGCATTACAGGCTCAACGGCAATGTACAGTTTGTAGGTAAGTAAAATGATAGGAAAAGGTGAGGGAGAATTATTACAAAATCTTTTGAATATTACATCTTGATGGTAAAGATAGTTGTATAATGAATCTGCTGTGTTGGATGTGATTGAATATTTCCCCACTAGTTCAAGCCCAGACAGAAGTCACAATTTCAAATCCTGATTTTCTAGGCACATGTAGATTGAAACAATATGATCTTCCAGTCCACCATTTCCTTTAATTTTTAGCTGTTTTGCCAGATTAAGCTAAACTTAGAATAAACCAAAACTTTCTTTATGAAATTTACTATCACAAAGTATTAGATTTATAAAACTCTGATGAAATGTTTACCTTGCAAACATTAGATTTATTTGATTGGCTACATTGTAGGGAATTTTGAGCACTTCAACATAGTGTAATGGTTAGCAAGCTTGTCTCAACTTATCAATTACTACTGAGTAGTGACTTTGATCCCTACTAGGCACTCCATACTTGCCACATTTAAGCTTTGCTTAGTAAATCACTACATTGTAGGGAATCTGTATATCTATAAATTGGATAAAAGTCTCTTTCCATTTTCTTTTTTCTTAAGTTTAGGATTAATGTTTGAGAAACATTAAGCATTATTGAGATTACTTTCAGATAGAACATTGGGCAATAAATGTTTTGTCAGAAGGATGGTTATTCCCTTGACACTGCTATTACTGTATACACTTTTGATTCCTTTGGTAATATTTATGTGCAAGATTATAAAAATTTGTGAACCAAATACAATGTGATATTTATTATTTACTATTTTATAAAGAAATAAATTTGAAAAATATTTTTATTCCCAAATTTATAAAAATAAATTACAAAATTATCAAAATATGTGAACCAACTTGAAGGCAATATTATAAATAACTCTAAAATCAAGTTCTTTATTCAATCTAATAAATAAATAAATAGTGTTTAATATCTTTGTTGTCAGTTCTCAAGAATAAAGAAAATGTATAAATCCACTTTCATATGTTTGAGCTTTATTCAAATTCTAGTCTCCCTTTTTAAAACTATAAACATTGCTGAGGGAGTTAAAAATCTATACTGTATTAGCAGTGTTAAGGGATTAACACCATTATTTTTTTCCCTGTTTTTGTGTTTTTTTTTTGTTTTTTGTTTTTTTTGTGAGCACAAAGGTTAGACATTGCCAAACATTAAAATGGTCCATATATGCCATTTTGATGACTTTCCAGTTAGAAAAAGAAAAATACTGCTTTCCACCTATTTAAGTTTTTATGAAGTTGGGATCAGTAAAAATGCTGGTTGTTTATTTTCTGTTGACATTAGCCAACCAACAAGACACCGGATTCACTTTTTTCATCTTTGTCCCAGAACTGCCCTGAAATTATATTTTTATTTTTTTTTTATTAATTTTTAGAACTTTGTATAATAAAAACATGATTAAATGTTTAAGAAATAAAAGCTAAAATGTTTGTTTTTATTGATGAAAATGAATTAGTTAAATTTCATGGTAATTTTTATAAAAATCATATATTTATTTAAACATTTTTGTTAAATCATGTTAAATAATTTCACATGGAATTATTCTTATTAATTTTCATGCTCCTTAACTTTTATTATACTTTCAATTTAACAATGCTCTCTGCATTCATTTTCAGTATAAAGAATTATTAGCACATGTCTACAATTAAGTTTTTAAAATCTATAAAAAAAAATTTAATTTTCAGTTACTTGCTTCATGGTGTGACTAAATTTCCTATAGTTATTTACATTCTGCCTTGTATTATCAATTTCGTTTATGATAAGCAGAAAACAACATAAATGTTGTTTATTCAGGGGTTTTTTTTTTTTGTTCTGTTTTGTTGTTTTTTTTATCCAAAAATTGACAAAAAATAGACTTTTCTTGCTTTGTTTATTAATTACTCCTTACAATTAGATCCTAATGTTTTTCACATTTAAAGATAATGCAAATATCTACATTTAAATCTGCCATCCTTCATTCACCTGTTTAAAAAATGCCAAACTTTTATGCTTTTCTGTATGTGCTCGTGCTCGTCCATTTAGTAAAAGCTTACTGCTACTGGTGAGAACTTTTTTTTTTTTTTTTATCTTAAATGAATTGCTTTTAAAATAAATGTAATTTTTAATTAAAAATTTTGTATTATCTCCTCCTTTTCCTTAAAAAAAAAAAAAAAAACCATGTCATCCAAATGTTCTACTGTCCCTGGGATGATACTCATACCCTGCCTAGCAGATACCTCAACTTCATACATGAGATCCAGAAGATATTTTTAGGGTCTTACATGGTAGTAAAAAGTTCTTACCATTATCAATTTTCATTATCGTTTTTGTAGATAATCAGATTTCTTACTTATGTCTAATTGGTATCTTCATTTGCTTTTATAAAATTTTTGCATTTAAACATTTCATTTCTTAATATTAAAATCAATTATCTGTAAATCTGTGAAATTTCATCTGATATTCGGGTTAATTTGATGAAATAAATATGTCAATTATGTTGCTTTCATTTTTTTTTTTTTTTTTTTTTTAAATGTTAAAATATTGAAAATATAGGCAAGAAAAGTTGTTTTTTTTTTTTTGTTTTTTTTATTTTTTAATATAGAAATTTATCTAAAACCTTTTCATTACAACATGGCATTACCAAAGCAACCAAAAATTATTTTCTTTGTATTAAAATTTAGGCATTAAAATATAAGAAATATACAAGAACATAGTGTATTATATATTGAAACTGTATATTATGATTGAAATTGTAATTATTTGAGTATTAGCTGAATAGCATGGTTCTAATTCATTTCTAGCATAAAGTATTTAATCTATAATAATACCGTTCGATTATAGCCAAGATTTTAAGCAAAATAAAAATGAGCAGTTTCCAAATTTTCTTTTTAAGAATTTAGATAAAATATAATTACACTATATATGAACATTAATTGGCAGTAAAATCATAAAGAATGCAAAAAGATTCTTTCAGTCTATGCAAACTTTTTGAAAAATACAAATCATGTTAATATCTTCAATTAATGAACTACCCTTGTTAAAAAAATTTTTAATTTTCTTACTGCAGGCATGCAAATGAGGAGTTCACTATTCTTGCTAACTCTTGGAGATTCTCACAGCAATATTGTAATCGACTTTTTTTTGCAATGGTTGATTATGATGAAGGATCTGATGTATTTGCAAATGTAAGTAAAAGAAAAAAAATAACAAGAACTCATACGAAAAACCCAGCATTTTATTTCTGTTTTATGTCTTCATAATTTCATTTTTGCTGATAAGTATTTTAATAACTATTAGACTAACCAACAAGTATACCTTGCCATTATCTTCTTTTTTATTTTTGACTATGATTTTTATTTTTATATATATATATAGTTGCTTACAATCACTTGATGAAATACAATCATAGTATTGAAAGATGAAATATTTTGTGTAGCGATCTCAAAATGTTTTTTATTATAATCATTTATAATAAAATATTGGTCTACTTTGTATTGAGCATTTTTTCAAAGTAAATGCTATGAACAGTGGAGTTTTACTCCATCTGTTCTTTCTCTCATTTGGTTTTTTATATATATATATATATATATATATATAGGGAAGAGGTTATAGTTGTTCTAATGAGAGAACAGGGTATATTTTAAAAAGAAGATAAGCCGCAAACGTTTTTGGTTGAAATGTGGATTTTTTATTTTAAGATATATATAGGTTCCTCCATTAGGTCACGTAAAAAAGCAGCATATCACGATTAAAAAAGGCTCATAAATCAACAAAAACAAAGTTTTGTCTCAATATGTTGTTATTAATTGAAATCTAAAGCATTAAATTTATTACTTACAGTAAGTAAAATATTCTGGTGTCTTTCAGACAGAAATTATATAGATTGGAATGTCAAATATATGCTCGATTTTAGTTTAATTTTCTTAAAAGCGGCCATTTTTAAGAAATTTGTAAACAAATAAAATTTTGATTTTAAACTTCTTAAAATAAATTTATATATTTTTGACATGTTATTCGAGTAAAATTAGAAAATTTAAAGTTAAATTAATCTGATATAAAACAAACAGTACTTACTTATAGCATAAAAATTTGTATCCAAACATTTAATGATGTGTCTGAATTTATCAAAGAAATCAATTGTGACAAGGTGATGACAGATTACTATGGATGATCAAAATTGACAATTTTTGCAAAGTAAGTGAACACGGTTTTTCGTTTTTAACTAGTACTTTTTAAATATTAACATTTTTATTCAGCAATTGTGTAATATCTATTTTTTATTTCATACTTTTCTTAATTAGATAATAGTTTAAAGTTTTTTAGTAATTAGATAATTGTTTAAAATTTTTTAAGGATTATGTCATGTATACATTTCCATACGTAGAAATTATGAACGTTTTTTTTTTTTTCAATAAAATTTTTTTTTTTTAAATTATTTAAAACATATTTTGGGTCAAACGACTGTTATGTGCTTTTCAAATTTCGATTCGTAAATTTACTTTTTCATTAACATTATCATTGCATTACGTGCTTGAAAGCAATAAAGAATTTTAAATGATTTTTGAAGTATTAAGAAGTTAATGAAAAAAATTTTAAAAATAATACATTATTCATCGAAAAAATTTAATTTCTTCACAAAATAACGTCCTTAGTATAACGTATTTACAAAAACAGGTGAAAGCTTTTCTAATTAATTAATGTCATACTTTTTTACACTTTTATAATTCAAAGCAGATTTTCTATGAAACCGGGTACTGTTTTACAAAAAAAAAAAAAAACTGGTGATTTACTTTCTACAAATAAGATTTTCTAAAAAAAAAAAATAATTTCAAAAATAATTTCATTCATTTGTGAATAAGTCCTGAAAGTTTCATTAAAATCCGACAATTATTTGATTTTTGCAAGAATTTCCTAAATTAATGTGTGTTTTCCTCGGGCCTTGGGGAAAAGCGCAAAATAAAACAAACCTTTTTTTTAATTTTATCGCGTTGTAAAAAAAACAATTTTCTATGTGCTAGAAAGGAGTAAAAAATTTCAAAAAATAATTAAAAAATACTTTGGTCTTTCCTCTTCATAACAACATAAACATATTGATACAAAACTTTGCTTTCGTTGATTATGGACCTTTTTTCATCGTGATATGCTGCTTTTTTTATGTGACCTAATGGAGGAACCTATATATATTATAGTCTATTTTCCATAATTCTGTTTCATGACTAATATATATATATATATATATATATATATATATATATATATATAATTTTGTGTATCAACAAACAGTATTTAAAAATCACAAGAAATTTTCCAGTTTGTTTTATATATATATATACACACACACACTTTGTCTTGATTTTTTTTTTTCTTTTTATCCTTTATGAAATATTTTAGTAAATATTTTTTTTTTTTTCTTGTCATATAATGTTTTGCTAGCCCAGCCAAATATATAATGCAAAATAAATATAATAGTAAATAATTCAATGAAAGCTAGTTAATTATTAAAGATAAAATGGGTAATTAAGTTTCTTTGAGTCCATAAGGTATAATTAATTTAAGTGGCATATGTAATTATATATTATGTAATTATAGCTATGCAACCCTCAATTGTCACATAAGGATTCTGCTATAATAACCAGTGTCTGTAAAAATTTGAAAAACTTTTTTATAATTGTTAGACTAATCTCAAGCAGATGCTTTACACATATAGTTTCAAGGCCATTAAAAATGATAATATTTAAAATGTTTCTAGAGATGAATACCAAATTCAAGAACACATTAATCTGGAAAAATTTCAGTATATTTTGAATATTATAATAATAATAATAATAATAATAATAATATGACTAAAAAAAATGTGTGAAAATGATGAGAATTTTTCAGGCCAGCAGAAGTTCTGTTAAAAAGTACTCAAGATAACTTGAGCTATATAATAGTCAGTAAGTCAAAAGTTCTATGGACTTCTCTGATTGACCAACTCCAGAGTTTCACAGAAAAACTCTGAAGTCTGTCAATAAGATAAGTCCATTAAACCTTTTTTGATTAATTGAATATTTTGAATATATAAATGTTACAGATTTGATCAAGAATTTTGTTTTTAAGCACTTAAATACAACTTTGTAAAATGAACTAGTTTAAATTAATAATCTAAATTAAATTAATTCTTAACATTGATTAAAAACAAATTAAATTCACCTTTTTAAATGTTTTATTACCAAATGCTACAGGTTTCAGCTAAAAAATATAGTGAAAAAAATAGCAACTTACCTCGTCAAACCAAGCGACAGCGCGTTGTGTATCCTACGACGGAAAAGAAAATTACTTATCAAAAAAAAAAAAAACACGTATTCCACATGACATGCTGAAGACGGAATATTTAGATTAAAAACAAATCCGTCACAGGAGTCGCTATAAAAGTACTTTATTATGCAAAATACTTGGCGTCCTCTCCCAGTTGTTGACAAATGAAAAAACTGCTCAGCCGATAAAAGCAGTTGGTCTTCTCGAATCGACTGACTGGTTACGTGCATTGGGATTTGTGAGATAGTACCTGCGAATCGAGTTTTCGGCATTTCTTTCTGCCCCTGATATTCAAGTCTGAACTTACAGTGATTTGTTCTCTGCATTGTGGAATTAATCTGCAACAAACATTTCCTTTGCTTTCAGAATGCTTACAAAAGAAAAAAAATTGCCAAAAACTGTTGTACCTTTGTAAAGACGATAAATGCCAAGTGAAAATTTTTACCCAAGAAATATTCTATTGTGCAAAATCCTTATAAATGGTATTCTAAAAGGAGCTCATCCTGGGTATGATGATAAACTATATCTGGCAGCAAGGCCTCTGATTGGGAGGTTTTGAGGAGCATGGAACCACCTCATAATTGCTGTTGGTCCCAGCTATGGGCAAATAGTGAACCCCCAAATTGGGGTCAAAACATTATGAAAGTATAAAAATACATTTTTGAAGTAAAGCAATACATTTCCTTAGTAAAAAAAAAAAATAATAAAAAAAATTACCAGCAATACATTTTTTTTGGTGGGGGGGATCACCATAGCTCCCCCCAAAAAACTTTGGCATTAAATGACACATAAACCAAAACCGTTAAACCAAAGCATCTAAAAGGAGTGTTTTTTCAGAGAGATCAAAACCTGGTTGTGAATGCAAATTTTCTCAATGAGACAAAAGAAGAATTCTCATAGAATCAAAGAAAGATTCAAAATGACTTCAATTTGATAGATATAGTGGGTGGAGATACTATCAAATGTTGTCTGCAATGAAATAATTTATTTGATCCAATTTTACAAAGACAATCAAAGATGACAGCAAAATAAATGAAAAACAGAAATTGTGGTGTGCTTCCAAAATTGATGGATTTGTTTTGAACTGGAAAATATTTTCTTATATTAATGTTGAATTGATATTTTTCCAAGTACAAAATAGTTTTTATGAGAAAAACTTAATCCTGATTTAGTGAAAAATGTAATTGTAAGCCACTCAGCAGCATATACAATATGTGAAGATATTCAATTAGATAGAAAAATTCTAATCATTTTATACAGTTGAAATATGAAATATAAATTCCAAATAATATCAACATATACTTGATGATGGCATGCTCGAAATATATGAAAATTCAAACATTTTTCAACAGGATTGTGTGAGCTATCATGTTTGGTCTATAAAGTCACCTATAAATTATTTAAAACAAAAGAAATATCATGCATTGCTGAAACTGCCCAAGTCAGTCTTGAAAATTATAGAAAACTAGACTACCCACGACCTTTGGGTCACTGACTGTTCAGGTTAAAAAAAACATTGAAGTTGATTTCAACATTCCATTGAAATGAAAGTTAATTTTATTATGTTTCATTTAAATATTTCAATTCATTCGTGTCATCATTGGTTTGGTTTACAAGTTCATGTTTAATGTTTTACTGATTGTTTACAGCATTTAATAGGAAGAAAACTTCCAGGAAAAACTTTTAATTTTTTAAATATGCCAAAAAATATTTTTTAAATATTTAAAGTATTGTTTGTTTAAAGAAAGCTGAAATATAAATAATTACGCTACAAACAACTGGACAAAACAGCAAAGTGGGATCTCTTTATGTCTATCTTTAACTTAAAAATATTTTAATTAAAAAAATTTTCTGTTTGAAGAAAGTTAAAATAAAAATACCTACTGTATAAACAACTCGTATTTTTAAATCTTAATCACTTAAATCAGATTAAGTTAAATCATTATGTACCAGACAGACACACCACACAAGCACACTTTTAGTATTATATAGATTGTACTAAAGAGGAAATTGAAAGATAAATATCCAGCGACTCTTGACCAACTTTGCAACTTTATAATGTTGTTATTTTGAATTTATTTTCCTCATTACTGAGAAGAATTTGGACTTGTTTTTTTTTTTTTTTTAAATAAAGGAGTCACTGTTGAGTAAATTTTGTGATGCATATTTTTTAACTTCTGTAATTTCATTAAAATTTTTTATTTTTTATTACTATTTAATTATTTACTTATTTTTATGTGTGGTTGTATGTGTATGCAGATATATATATGTGTATGCAAAAAAAAACAAACGGTCCCTGAATTAAAATCCTACAATACTAAATGGCTGTTATATAGATAAAACAAACAAGCACAGATACATTCAAACTCTCTTAAAGTGTCAAGCCTGAATGTGATAACCAACTTATCCTCAGAGATCGATTTTGCTAGAGAAAAGCTTAGGTCAAAAAGAACCTAAGCTTTTCTCCAGCAAAACGCATCTTTGGTGAAAAATTTTCCTCTTTGTCTCACTTATTTTTTTATTAAAAACTGTCTAAAACATTTGTATTTCTTCTCTCTTACTTATTACATTTTCAAAATATATAGAAAAAAAATTAATGTTTTATGATTTGGCCCTTTAGCTCTGTTTAAATTTTGGATTACATCTCTAATCACAATTTTTTTGGGGTCTTGTTTTAATTTGGTTGTCTTTATTGCAGTTGAAGATCAACACAGCACCAGTCTTCATGCATTTCCCAGCCAAAGGTAAACCAAAGAAAGGAGATACAATGGACATTCATCGGTAGGTAATCTTTCTCTTTACCTGCAAAGTAACCTCATAATGACTGATATTTGGTTCAAATCAATCCAAGTTTCAGCAAATTAATTTTTTTTTTTTTTTTTTTTTTTAAATCATAATAATAGAAAAAAACCTAATACACAGATATTGGTATTTAATATTGAGAACTTCAACATATTTGTTGCTTTTTTGTTAATTTATTAATGTTAATTTGTTAATTGAAACTAAAAAAATTTAATACAACAGAACAATGAATAAGTAAAAAAATTGCTTATTTACAACATTTTCAGAACATCACATGCTAGCACAGGTTGGTTTGGATTAATAATCAATGAATATTTAAGTAGAAAGAAGAAATATAAGTTTTCACAAATTAAATGCAGCAGTGTTTGAAAAAAGAAATATTTTTCAAAAGATATTTAAAAAAAAAAAAAAAAAAAAAGAAAAAGTGTGCTTTGTCTCTACTGATTTACGAAATAAAAAAAATGAATTTCTGAAAATATTTAAAATATGATCTTATTTTTGTGTAAATTTTTCAGAAGATTATCTGCTGCAGTAGGATGTCTTTTATTACTTGGCAGACTAATAAGCAGTAAATTTGCCAGTAATTATTTAAAAAAAAAAAAAAAAAAGTGATAGTTGTTTATTTAATATTAAAAAGCACTTGACAAAAAAGTGGGGTAGCAAAAATATATATTACTATAAAATTATAATACCAAAATCTAAATTAAAACCAGCTAAACCATTTTATTGGTCTTCTCTCATCAGTGCAAAAATCAAGGACAAAAGAAATGTGCTCAGTGACTAAAAAAAAAACAAAAAAAAAATGTTATATGACAAAAAAATAGAACTTTAAAGAATAATTACCTTGAAGCCCATCAACTATTCCTTCTGCTTATCAAGAGATGGCTGCTAGGACTTAATATACACTTATTTCAAACCTTTCAAGTAATAATCAGTATATTTGTTTTAGGTAGTCAATAGTTTTGTATTGTACTATACAAACATAACTACAGTACCAGAGAATCTGCCATTTTTCTGGATTCTTTTTGTAAAAAAAAGTTTCCATTTAGAATAATGAAATATTTATATATTTCAAATTTCTTTTGGTTAAATGCTTTTGAAAAACTGAGTCATTTTCTTTATACATCTTTACAAAACTTAGATTATAGTACTGTTAGGAGATATTCCACATTTTCTTGCATACTGCTCTTTTAATTTTTCTTTCTTTTTATTCTCCATAACTGGTTTGTTTTTCAAGTTTTTGGCGCTTGATTGGTGATTAACCAATCATTGACAATGACTCATTAAGAAGTTGCAATTCATTTTTAGTATCTAAAAAAAAAAAAAAATGCTAGAAGGCTGTGGCAAGTCTTCAGCTGATGTTGAAGTATTTTCAAAAATCTCTCGTAATACTGTTAATTTTATTTGACGTTTGATTGTTAATCTCTTTGTAAATGTTAAATTTTTTTTTTAAATATTCATTTCAATGTGTCACTTTTTTCAGATCCAAACTTAATTTTTTAAATATATAAAAAGAACTGAAAATTTGATTGTTTTGTGAATTTAGTGTACTATGTCAACAAAAGTTTGTCAGCCATTAACATGATTTGTTGCATATTTTCATATTATTTTATGTTGTCTTAACATTAATTAATGACACTTCTTTTTTTTTTTTTTTTAAATATTTTCATTATGTCACTTTTTCATATAAAAATCTATTTGTTGTATAATAAAAATGTAAACAAAACCAAAAATAAGGTTGTTTATTTTCCACTGACTTGGTCAACATTTAGCTACAAATAACACAAATATTGTTGATTTTATGATCACAGATCTTATGTGAATATTAACCAGCATTCAAAAACTTTCTAAAGATATGCAACTTGACTACATTGGGAGATATGAAAATGTTAGTATATAGTGACAAATACCATAATCCACCATTTTGAATTTGACCAACTCAGTAAAACCCTTGTAACTCAGGCTACAGCCAAAAGTCCACAACAAAAATTTTGTATATAACTTGCCAGACAAATTTGTTGTCAAATTTAAAAAAAAATTAGATACAATTTTTGAGAAATTAAAGATCTATGGTCAAATTATCTTATTTGACATTTTAAACACAAAAAAAATCACCTTTTAGATCTATCCAAGGACTGTAATATTGTATATAATTTAGATTTGAAGGTGAAAAAATAACTGAGATATTGATATTTAAACTTTGTGACTATTTTCCAAAATTCAGCTTTTTGGCAAAGGTCAAAGGGTCATATCTCTGGAACCCTTTGACCTCAAGATGTAAAATAGGTTCCATTCAATGTCTATCATGAAGCTCTATAAGTGTACCAATTTTGAAAATAAATCTGTGTTGGTGATGGTCAAACTGTTGTTGATTGGATATGAAATGACTCCTAAACATATAGTAGCTTGCAATATGACCTATTTTGTGATATATTTTTATTATATTGTGTTGGGGTGGGTCATTTAGCTTAGTCTCTACTGCAGAGTATCCTAGCTAAACCAAAATGGCAGTGCCAATGAGAAATTACCATCATCATTTTTATAGTCATTTATTTCCAGTAAACGGCAACTTCCTATTTTTCTCAAGGCTCTCAAGTGCAACCAGGCAACGATGTTCTAACAATGAAAGTGTTAAATATTCAGTTCTACTGCTTCATGAACTTCACTTTTAACTAAATTTGTCAATAGTAATTCTTATGTAGTATTAAATAAAAAAAAATAAAAAAAAGAAAAATTAATGACTCTCATCATAGTCTGTTAGTGAATTTTATTAATGTATCATTATTTAATTTAGGGTTGGATTTGCTGCTGAACAGATAGCCAGGTGGGTTGGAGAAAGGACAGATATTCAGGTAAGAAACATTTTCTTTGATCTTTTAAATACAATTAGTAAAGTCTTCAGTTCAGTGCCCAGTTCAATCACCTATCTATTAAGAAAAGTTTTTTTTTTTTTTTTTTTTTGTTTCAGTAATGTCTTTTAAGTCAATATAGGGCCAGAGGTAATGAGTTGGCAGTAACTCATGACAAATTTTTATAATTAACTCTGCTTCTCAAAAAATATGCATGGTACTTAAGATCCACTTATATAAAAATTCAGAATGTGGATTTAATAAATACTAAACACTTTAAATTTAGTATAGGAGACAAAAAAAATTGAAAACAGAATAGGGGTAGTTTTACCTAACTTTGCAAATTGCTACAAATCTGAAACATTAATGTGAAAACTTTAGTCATGTTCTTAAGTAGCCTTGTCAATTGAAACTTTCATATGAATCTCATGCATAGCACTAAACCTGTACAAAATTATCTACACAACCACTTTCTAAGATCAATGGTAAAAAATTGCTTTGAGCAAATGGAGCCTGTGACAAAGATCACACTTCTTCAAACCTTGTGGACTGGTGCTACAGCATCACAAAGAACTATACCAAATATTCTGCCTCGTCAGTCATGTATTGAAAGATACATGATTGCCTAAGCGTGTATCATGCATGGCACATAACTGACTGACCTAATAACAAATGACATCACTTGAGGACTTTCAGCAGCAGCAACAGCTAAAATGGATATCACATGTACCTCTAAGAGAAAATAATATCATAATCAAGGTGTTGACTTTCCACATTACTGCAAATAAAAGGTTAGGAAGGAAACCCTCATCAGTACTGGAAAGAGTGATAACAGCTACTGGACTTGAGAAACTTATTTTCCTGAAAAATTGTTTCAAGAGAAAGATTTTATAAATTTCAACTGACAGCAGTACTGGTCAACAATTGCCAAATGTTTCCTTATAAGGAAACAGCTAATATTACAATTACCATGTCTTCATAACTTTATTCTTTATTGTATCTCATTGCTTACATTGATATTTGTTAAGTTTAGGTTAGGAAAACACAAAGCCAGAAGTAAGAATTCAAAAATGGAGTTAGGAAGATTGTGTTCTGATACTCTTCCAAGTGAGGATAGATCCCTTGCCTGAAAAATTAGCATTTGTAATTTTTAATTTTGCCTTTACTTGGACATGGCTCTCTGAAACCAAGAGGATATACTGAAGAGAGTAACTGTTATGTAATATCAGTCCTCATATATGGCAGTGGATGATGGGCTATTTCCTTACAGATAAAGGAGACTTGAGGCAACAGAAATGTAGTTCTTTGGGAGGATGCTGAGAATACCATAGACTGAATATATGAATAACAAGGAAGTTTTAGAGAAAATGGAAACAAAAAGACATTTATCAGAAAGAGTTGAAATTTCTTGGGCACATAATGAAGAAATATGGTTTGAAAATTAGATACTCATAGGACATGTTGAAGGAAAGATGGACAGAGGAAAACGGCTATAATCTACCTAATGAGTTTGTTTAAATGATTGGCAGAACAGGGTCTAGAAGAAATAACAAAAAATAGTTATGACATGCCAATACCTCAAATAATGACATCAGAGATGCTACTCGGTTTCAGTGAGAAAATGTAAGAAAAATAAAAGAGGAGGCTAGTGTTTAACGGCTGTTTCAGTGAAATGGAAAATGTTGTCAATTTCAAATCTTTTCATTTGTACACTCTTACTTATAAATAAATTTATTAAAAAAATGTTTGCAAGAAAGGTAGTAATTTGTAAGTTTGGTCCAGTAAGAGGTGATATAAATGTTCTCTATCCACTTTATGGTGGACATTAGCACGGGAAGTGGAATCTGCAAGCCAAATTCAAAATCCGGACTATTCTGTTGTATTCATTTTCACTCTGATGTCCTTATGTATCTATCTCTTCTTTCCCTTGTCTTCCACTGTGGGTTAAATAGCAGGGTAGACTAAGCTCTCTAGCCTTGGGTGGCAACCAGTCTAGGAAAATGATAACTCTAAATTTAAAACTGTGGTGAAGGCAATTGGAAATCACTCCACTAACTTTCCCAATGAACCCTTTGATCTCGAGATGTAAAATAGGTTCCATTCAATGTCTATCATGAAGCTCTATAAGTGTACCAATTTTGAAAATAAATCTGTGTTGGTGAAATTCACAGCAATTCACAGATAGTAAAAGAAAGAAGGAATCTGTGGTGAGCCATGATCACATAGTATATAAAAAAATCACTTCATGTCTTTGTTGATTCACCAATTAATTAGTTGTTTTTTATTATTATTAAATCAGCCTCTTGGACTAATTTCCTTTCCTTTTTTTTTTTTTTTTTTTTTTCTCCATTCCATGTCTACAGATCAGAGTATTCCGTCCACCTAACTATTCTGGAACGTTGGCAGTTGCATTACTCTTTTCCTTAGTTGGTGGTTTGCTCTATCTTAAACGCAATAATTTGAACTTCTTATACAACAAAACATCCTGGGGAATTGGTGCTATGGTAAGTAACGTTAATCTTTTCATTTGGTTTCTTGTAAACTTTAATTTACAATCTGTTCCTCTCTTTCTACAGACCAAACATTGTGCCAGCAGTTTATATTAGTCATATAACCTCTAAATTCTCTGAATGCCCTACCTATTTTTTGCTTATTTGACTTCATTTCTTTTCTCATGCAAACCAACAGCTTTCAATACATGTTACTAAATTTTAGTTTCGTCCTGAGAATCTGGTTAAAATTTAAAATAAGAATAAATTAGACTGAATAAAAATCTGCTTTGATCTTCAGTTTTAATTGGTTGGTGTTTGGAAATATTTTTGTTTTTAATCTTTATGCACAAATATTAAAATCCTTAGGTTCTACAAAATTTGGATTATCTCTGATGAATTTGTGATCTGTAATTGTAAAAAATTAAAAAAACAATTTATTTCTGACTACAATACAATAGCTTTCTTCAAAATACATTTTAATTTGCACTTTTTGTATTTATCCTTATTACTTAGATCTGTAAGTGTGATATATGTTTTACCTTAACAGTTATTATTTTGTTGTTGCATGAGGTCTGTCCAGAAAGTACCCATTTAATATTGATGAAAAAAAAAATAGCCTGCTTAGTACAATTGCACTTTAGTTCCCTTCAAGGTACTCTCTTTAAGATGTTACATTTATCCCAGTGTCCTTTCTACTTTAAAAAACAAGCTTCAACGTTTTCTTTTGGGTGTGCCATTAACTAATTTATTACAATTTTTTTAATCTCATCCGTGGTGTTTTATGGGAAAATCCAGAAGTTAGAGAGTTTTATCTTGACTGGATAGTGGGATGAGCTGACGTGAACAATTTACAGGCTTGGTCATCGTGAATGTGGTGAGCACACAATATACAAGCTTACTCAATGGTATTTCACTGCATAACCCTACAGGACAGTTTCTGTTCACACATGTGCAGTAAGGCCTCTTCTAATTTACTACCAAATTACATCAAAATGATGCAACTGATCCACAAATTATTCAAAATGGCTAATTTCTGGACACTCGTATATCATTCATTATTCTGATTAGTTTCAGTAAACACAATTCTTTCAAATTTGCAAACTTTTGAACTCTCTCTCTCTCTTTTTTTTTTTTTTTCATTTAGGTTATAATATTTGCTATGACCTCTGGTCAGATGTGGAATCATATCCGTGGCCCACCATTTATGCACAGGAATCCTCACACTGGACAAATGGTAGGATAATTCTATCAGTAATTTCATGATATTCAAAGGTTGTGGTGCAATTGGTAACTTTTGTCTTGCTTTTAATTACTATCTCCTCCTTGTGCTGATCCTTTAACTTCAAATATATTACCATAAGGCCTTTGTAATGTTATTTATCAATGTTTTTTTGCATAAAACTTATGCTTACCTGCTGTATGAGAGTACATATTCAAACCTGTTTCTAGTAAGAATATGGATATCTGTGTGTGTGTGTGTGTGTGTGTGTGTAGTGTTGTGGTTATCTGTACAAAAAATGCAATAGGGATGCCAAGTTCAAATTCAAACCAAGGTTGTTCTGTTTGCTTACATACACATACCCTTGGGAATGGTATTTAATCTATTTTCTCTCCAGCTATGGGTTAAATAGCAAAGCAGTCTGGGCTTTCATACATTGATTGGCAAACTAGTCTAGTTGGCCATGTGGCACCCTGTAAAATGTCTGCTTCCTATAGAAACTACAGTAGCAATGCTAGTGTTGTAAGTTTGTGACCCTATACTCCACATGGAGAGAGAAATACTTATCTTTCTATTAAGAATATATATTTATACTTCAACTTTGTATTTTTTAAGATTTAAGATTTTCAAAATCTTAATTGTTTATCAGTCTGATCATTATAAATATTTTACTATTCTGAGATTAATAAAAAGTGATTTCAAAATGTTTCTTTGTGTTGAAAAAGGTTTTATGGTAATATGAATATGTTTAGGAATTGGTGTGAGTTTTAAACTGACAATATTTACCATATTTGTTGACATCAAGGACGTTTTTTTTTTTTCCTGAAATAAATCTTGAAAATTTGTTGTGCAGTCTCTAGTGTTTTCGTAGGCCTATGCTAGCCTCAAAGGAATGTTATCTATGCCAAAATTCCTGTTCTGCAAATTTTCAAAACTTAATTTTAAAAAAAAAGTGCATCCTTGATACCGGCAAATATCGTAATTTTCCTTTTAAAGTTGCTAATAAAAAAAAAAACAACAAAAAAACCCTGTGGCGGGGTATTGGTTTGTAGTAGATGTAAATAATGTAAATAATTTGTATTTTAAGTCATACACAAATGTTAAAGTAAAATTCTTTTGTCTTGAAGTTTTGATGAGATGCAGTAGCAAGAATGTTATAAATTTGAAAACTAATAAAATCTTTTTAAAAAAAGAAAAAAAAAAAGAAATTTAACAATTTTGGACATTTATCAGGATTACAATTTTAGTTTGTAATATTTGTATGTCTTTAATGTTCTCTTTGCAGCAGTTTCTTTATAGTTGTTTTTTTTGTAGTTGTTTGCTCTCACATTTACTAACTTGAGCCATTGGATTTCAGGCACTCATATATCCTTCAAACAGTTCCCAGTTTGTTTTTGAAACCTGGATTATTATCTTTCTCAGTATCCTTTTAGTTAAAAAGAACGCACAAACAAAAAAAAAATCTTTCAAGATCTATTTGAAAAGTAACTGCTTATTTGCTATAGGTAGGTTTTCATTAAAGTGTTTTTCTTTGCAACTTTTGTTTTGTGGCCAGCCAAATAGACGTAATTAGCAATTTCAGGTTTTTCTATTGTAATGTATAAGGCTTACAATTAGTAGCATCCATTGATAAGGTACTGCAAACTATTTGCAAGAAGAGTTACCTTCTTATATCACTTGCATGTAGTACCAGTCTTTCACACAACATGCACTTTAAGCAAATTAACAAAATGATCTATTTTTATTTTATTCAAATTTTTAGAATAGCAAAAGCATAAAACTAGAATCCTCATTGAAAAATTCAAGAAAAAAAAAGTGGCCACTAAAGTTTCAAATTGACTCCCTTTAATAGTAACTAAAAATTATTTCACTACAGTTTTATCAATAGTAGCAATAGACTACCACCATCTCATCTCTAGATTTTAATTATTTTTTAGGTGGCTTGTCAAGATCTTAGCAGATATATTATTATTTATACATATTGGATAGTTTAGATTTGATTTATTATTTCAAACTGTATGACAATTTTTCCTCTTTATGAAATTTTTACAGAAATAATCAGTCTTTTTTTTCTAATTATTCAAAGGTGTAACATAGTTTGATAGCTTTTGTTCATTTTTTTTTCCATTAATAATTTCTTAAATTTTTTATTATGTATTTTAGAAAGATAATAAAATTAAGTTAACTAAAATTTAATTTAATAAATTCAATGATAGCTTATTGTAGGGTGAATTGAAAATCAGATACAATAATTATTGATTAAATTTTCTGAAATTAGGTCTCATTTTCATTTACTAAATGTTAATTCCTCAATCCTTATTAATCTTCCCTGGGTGCTTTACATTTGGATAAAAAAATACTTTTGGCAATTTACTCTTTATGAATTTGCTTGAATTATTTTACTGAATTGCTTGAATTATTATAGAACTAGTTAGTTTTTTGCTAATTGGTGTTTTATTGCAATAACTTTGCATGGCTGATTACCTGCTGTTTTTCTATTTGTCTGAGTTCATTTTTTTATTATCACTTCTATTTTTAAGTTTTCAATTGGCTTATCTGCTTTGGTATTAAATCATTGAATATACGATGTGATGAAGATTTTTACCTGACCCACTTTCTAACTGAAATAGGGTCATCAAACAGACTTCTGTTTTCTTTGTTTGAAGGACTTTTTGGTTTAAACATCTTTTCAGCATAAATGGTACAAACCAATTACTGTCAATAAATGTTAATAGGCTCAAAAAGAAAAAGAATATAAAAGTCAATTTTCAGAACAATAGGTGAAATACAACAAATTTGACAGGTGAATAATACAAAATAGGAAAAGACAAAATTATTCATACAGTAGAAAATATCATTTAAAAATTGATTGATTTGTGCAAGTAAAAGTAATTTACACATTTTTTTTTTTTTTATTGGTGAAGCCTTCTAGACTATTTATTCAATAGAATATTTAAGATAATTCCAGCATAGAACATCCTGTGGTGCATAAAGTTTCACTATTGTTATTCTTACATTAACAACATGATTGGGAAGACAAAGGAGCTTAGCATTGACTTGAGACAGAGAATTATTAACTTCCACAAGTTGGGAAATAGTTACAGCACTATGTCAAACCAGTTACCTATTCCTAGATCTATAGTACAGTCCGTTATAAAGAATTTTAAGCAGTTTGGCATGACAGAGAATTTGACTCGGCATGGGAGAAAACACAAATTGTCACTGAGAACTACATAAAAACTGTATCACGAGGTTAATATAAAGCCAAGAGTTGTTTTGAAAGACATTGCCAAAAGTTTGGACACAATGGGTATTAGTGTAAATACTCACACAATACAATGTTGTTTAAATAGAAATGGGTTGTATGGAAACTGACTACAATGAACCCCTCTTCAAAAATCATGTTACATTGTTGCGTGGTTTAATTTTGCCAAAACATTCTTGGACAAAGAAAATTACTTTTAGGAACAAGTACTATGGAGTGATGAAACAAAAATTGAGCTTTTTGGACATAATGATGTACAGAAGATTTGGTGCAAGAAAGGTAGGGCTTTCCTTCCAAAGAACTCAGTGGCAATATTATTACATGGAGGCAGCTCAGTAATGCTTTAGGGTTGTTTAGCTCAAGGAGGATTGGACAATTAATTGCAATAAGAGGAATAATGAAATCTGCAGACGATATCAAAATTCTGATTGAAAATCTACAGCTATCAGGACAAAATCTTCATCTAGGTCTGCGATTTACTTTCCAACAACATAATGATCCCAAACATACGTCTAAATCAGTGATTGTGTGGCTTCAGAAGAAGATTACAGTTCTGCCATGGTCTTCAGTGACAAGATGGCAAGAATTGAAAGTTCAAATAAATTGTCAGTCACCAAATAACCTTCAGCAATTACAACATGTAACCATTGAAGAATGGAAGAAAGATTTGTTCAAATCTCATCAAAAACTTTAGAAAATGATTGCAGCAAGTTATAAGGATGAGAGGCCATGTTATTGACTATTAATATTGTGAAAATTGTTCAATTTTTTTCTATTTTTCATACTGTACAAATAATTTTGTCTTTTCCTATTTTGCATAATTTGCCTGTCAACTTTGTTGTATTTAATCTATAGTTCTGAAAATTTACTTTTACATTCCTTTTCTTGTGCTTATTAACTTATAAAAAACCTGGCATCATATGGGCATTAGATTCTGAGAAATGGATAAAAATATTCAAAATTGATGGGTATACAAATAATTTTGTCGTTGACTCTGTGTGTGTGTGTGTATGATTACGTAAATATATTTTTACTAGATACCCATTTTTCAGTAGATGCTCTGTTTATTTATTAAACAGTATATTGTTAAATAATTATTTTTGTCTACTGGCTTGATATCCAAGAAATCTTATTAAAGAAAAATATGCTCTCTCCAGTAGGATTTGAACCTGTGTCCTCTTTGACAGGAGAAACTGTTGCTAAACCAATGTTCTTATACTGATTTAACTATGGAGTGCATCGTCAATCAAGTCTATATAAAGCACATCAGATCTAATGAGGGTTTCTCCTGTCAAGAGAGACACAACCTTGCTGGAGAGCACATATTTTTCGTTAATAAGATTTCTTGAATATTTTGGCTGGTAGACAAAAATAAATATGCTGTTTAATAAATAAATGGAGCATCTACTCAAATATGGGTATACACTAAAAAATAACATTTAAATAAGAAAATGTTTGATTAATAAATTAAAAAAAGTTCATTATCTCTTGTATATTATCTCTTCATGTATTGTTAATCATCAACCACTTGGTCAAAATATCTTTTATATTCTCTTGGGCTGAACAGATATACTTATTTATTGTCATAAGTCATTTAAACTTTGAAAAATTTATTAAGTATATCATTATTGTCAAAAAAAAAAATGAACTTCTCTTTTTTATTTCTTTTTTTTATGTGTTGAGTGTTCTATTATGTGTTTATTAAATGTTAATAAGGTGGTGCTGGTATTTAGTTAGATTTTGGGAAGTTAGTCTGGCTGAGAACTTTTCAACACCACCTTATTCTTTAACTTTAAAGAGTATCTAAATGATATACACTCCTTTAATGTTTACTTTAAAAAAAACTTTGATTAGCAAAATTCCTTGTTCTCAAATTTCTTCTTTAGCTTGACCATCCTTGAAATTAAGATATTTAATGGAAAACAGTTTAAGAGAAAAAAGAATTTTTATATCTGGAAGTTTTTTTTTTTTTTTTTGTTTTTTTTAAATCATAAAGATGCATAAAGAACTGAAGTAAATTTGCATCCTGGATTTCTTGTGTTGACATGAACAGTTATAAGCAGTTGGTTTTTTCACAGGTAGTTTTTATATTCGGGTTAATATTCTATGGGGATAGAAGTTATTTTTTTCCTCTTTTAGATCTATAACAAGAAAACTAGATGCAGACATTTTGATTTACTTTAGAGGTTATTTGATTTTTTTTTTTTCGTTAACAAAGTAAACCTTGTGGGTATATACAGTTATTAATTCTTAAAAATGGAACTTTATAGATACCTCAAAAAGTTCAAGATACATACACCTCAATCCTGTGAAAAGATTTGGTTGCAACAAAATAAATGTCTTGTATTTCTTTTGACATTTGTATCATTCTCTTCTGTTGATACATATATCTATCATCTCCAAGCTTGGCATCTCCTCTTAGGTGTTTGAATTTTCATGTCATTATAATTGAATGAGTTCAAACTATTGCGCTATTAAAGCCACATCAACATTGCTTGGGGTCTGGATATCCAGCATCAGAACAGATTGTGCATTATACTTGTATTATTTCAAACTATTGTTCTCATTTTATTGATATGTTATTAAAGATGCAACGTTTTGACAAGGTATCCTCTGGCCATCATCAGAAGTTCATTGATTTGCTGGGATATCTGTTGATTATTGTGATATTTTGTCCCTGTGATCTCGGTTATTGTTCATTCCTGCTCCAAAAACACACCCCCTAATGTCCTTCAGGATGATGGCATAGTGGATATAGGAGTTGATTATACATGTTTTACTGTCCTCTAGTGGTCAATCACTGGTAGTGTTGCACTGATTCAGCAGGAACAGACAATAACTGATATAACAGGGACAAAATATCACAATAATCAACAGATATCCTATATCAGCCAATCAATGAACATTTGATGATGATCAGAAGGTTCTTGGTTGAAATGTGTCTATAATAACATCTATATCAACCAAGATGAGATAGTTTGAAATAATACAAGTTTTTTGGCAGTTACCTATCCCTGAGATTGTGCATTGTTGGTTCTAAAAATAGACTTTTGGTGATCAGAATACTCACTGAGAAAGAAGCATTTGAATATTGCTTGCCAAGCTATATGTAAATCTTACCCTAGTTGGAAGATGTCTGGCACTAAGTGGCAAAGTAGTGAAAATGTAGAAGGGGATATTCCATGATTTGGGTGGCAATCAACAGTTTATACTATCTGACACTTGTAATTTGCTTATTTATTATGTGCTTTTTTGTTGATGAAAACTGGTTTGATAATTGGAAATGTAACTTTCTTTTGAATTAATAAATTTCCTACCTACTCAACCTTCCTAAAATTGAATCTTTGTTCCAAAAAGATCTCAACTATTTAGTGGTGCTGTCATGGAGTAATTAATCTTGCAACCTGGTCAGTCTATCACAGCAGTGTCTGATTGTCATGATTTGGAATTGGCCAGCAGTGGTGAATAGAAAACAGGACTGTTATACTGCAGGATAATTAATGCAAGATCTCAAGATCTTCAAAAACCGATTGTGTTAAGCATTGAGGCCTTGTCACTAATTTTCCTCTTCACTGGAATAGTCTTGTACTAATTACCACTTAGATGCATATGTCTGCCTGCAGGTATACACCACTGGAGACCAAGTTGAAAGTGCCTTCCAGCAGCAGTTTCTTGACTCTCATCTACCCAGTTTCTTTCATGAATAAATTCACTACCACATTGTTGGCACTATTGTGTTCATTCTAATAGTGTTAAGAAAGTTATGTTTATGGTTTATAACTTTTGGTTCCAACTCTTTTCCATTAGTTCCTGTCTCTTAACTTTTGGACATGAATTTGAATCAAGGATTTAAATAATCACTTTGTTCCATGAGTCAAGATTCTGCCCTGATATGTGAAAATAGTTTTTGTATTTTATCGGAATTTTATAGTTTAAGCTATAGAAAATTAAGTTAATACAATTAGTTACTACTTATTTTTAAGAAACATAAGATCATGCAATTAATATAATTCCCTTAAATTATTAATAAAGTTACTTATTTCTTGTTCTTTAGCTCCTGATACTATTTTTTTCAGTATTGTAACCTTTATTTGCTATGAAAATATAAAGTATATGTTGGGTTGTGTATCATATTTTAAATATGATATATGGTATGGTCTAATGTATTGTATTTAAACATATTTTACTTTTACTAAAAGCCAGTTTGAAAATATTAAAGTTTGCACAAGCAATATTGATTATTATAATTCTTGTCATTTGACTGCAAACTGCATGACAGAAGAGAAAGTGTGTTTTGCTTCCATTCATATTGCATGGCTTTGACTACATGCTTATTGTACTGTTGGCCTCATTTCAATATTGTCATTTGTCTGCAGTAAAGTTTTTTCAATGCTATAATGCTTTTGTCTTCTTTCAGATAAAACTTTTTGTCTTTTAGCATGGTAAATGTTTTACTTTCAGCTTATGCTGTTAGCACATTAAATTACATAATTATTCCCAATAAGACTTTTTTCATTAAGATCTTTAAATTTTTATTTATATTAGATTTTTTTTTTCTCTGGACATTTAAGGTATGCTAAGAACTATGTGCTATTGTTATAGCAACATAGTTCTTATAGAATATATTTATGTATCAGAAGTTGTAGCTAATGTTTTCTAGCCAAAGCTCTTGTAATTTAATATTTGATTTTATATTTTTCCATATTTAAAATGCAAATAACTCAAATACTTTTAAGCAGCTTATCGTTTGGTAGGAATTTTATTATTTGACCTTAGTATTTATATTCTGCAATGTTTGGTACCATTTAAAGTTGTGGCAAACAATATTAGCACTTTCAATATTGTTATAAATCATGAAAAATATCAGTTTATCAAACTTACATTTTGAATTTTAAAAAACACTTTAAATTATAAAAAAATATTAATTTCAGTACTGTCTTTGCAAAAATTTAGTTTGATTTTTCACTGAATTAAAAAAAAAATCTTTACTTCAAATAGGCTTCTCTTTTTTTGATTTATAATTTTCACTAACTTTGTTATCCTCACTGTTAAAGTCTCTTTTGAAGATTCATAATCTATTAAATTGGTATTTAATTTATTTTTTTCTGCTCATTTATAATTTAGGTGACTATAACACTTAAGATTTTATCACTAAAAACTCATGTTAGAAATATATGAACTATAATATATATATATATATTTTTTTTTTTTTTTTTTCATGTTACTGTATACATTTTTTTAAAAAAATTTTTTAATCTTTTTTTTTTTTTTTTTTTTTTTTTTTTAACTATATTCAACCTATTTGGTAGATTTATTTTGTGATGTTGTTATTTCTCTGTGTTAATGTTGCGAAGATTCCATTTAAATAACATTCAAGTTTAATGGATTAGTTTTCAGAATTTTATCAGCTGAAAAATTAAGCTCAAAATCTGTTGCTTCTTTTTTCACCTTATCAGATCTTTGTTTAAATTAAATAGTGTCATTGTCAGGTTGAGTACTTTCATTAGTATGAGTTCTTATTTGGTAAATTCTTTGTATAGATCCATTCATAGGTCAACTGGTTTCTTACTTGATACACTAATCTATTGACACTAAAATAGAGGACAATGAAATTTGAAAGAATATCACAATACAATGCACAAATGGGCAATGAAAAGTGTTTGAATAATTTAGAACTATGTATAAAGCATAGATTTCTGCTTGAAGTAAAAACTGAATTATAGAATTTAATTCATTGTTTTATTAAAATATTTTTTATAAAAATTATATAATCATCTAGTTCTTTTTTATTTTTTAGAAACTTAATGCAAGGAATTGCTGAAAAGTTCCCTAAAATTCATAAGATGATCAAACCTCAGAAATATTTTCTTAAATCCTTTGTTGGGTAGAGAACTTTTCAGCACTTCTTTGTATTTCATGTAATATTTCCTATTATTTACATGTTCAGTATTGTATAATCCCGTCATTTATACCGTTAGAAAGTACCAGCACTTTGATGGGTTTCTCTGTGGATCTATAATGACTATATTTATTGTAAATAATAGTACAAAGCATTTTTTCCAAACTATTACCCAGAGATGGTGCATTTTCTAGTACTTGCTATAATAAATAAATAAAACAGAAACATCACAACTGAATTTTCTCTCTTTAGGTTCTACCACTATTTGCATAAATGTTTATTATTTTAATTTTATTTTCTCTTATTTTTATTTTATTTTTTGAAAGACATTTTACAATCAAAAATACACTTTTAAATCGAACATGCGTTGAAATTCTGAAGTCAAGGGAAGTAACTCTATTCGACTTAATTTCCATCTTAGCTTTGGGCTAAAAAAAATGTAAAATAGGATATTTTTTCTTCTTCCAAATGATGAAAATATGGGCTTCTATCTTGTGCCTTTTTCTGTGATTCATTAAATTTCCTAAGCATTTTCTACATATAGTTTCTTAATCTGAAAACTTTATTATAGATAAGAACTTAGATTCCTGATAAAATATGTTAGATTTTTTTCAGCATATACTTGAAATAATACTACAGCAATATTTACTTCACTATTTGGGGTTATTTAAGATCAGTTTATTTGACTCGGTTTTTATTTAACGAGGAAATAAAACTTTATTTAAGATTATATCAATATAAGTCTGATTAATTTTCTGAAAACAGTATATAATATTAATTACTGCCAGTTTTATTAAATATCATTTTTATAGCATAATGCTAAATTAGATATTTTTTAATTAGCATTTAATTTCAAGTTGCATAATGAATCTTCATATTCAATATAAAGATTTGAAGGCATGAACTTGGTATTATTTGACTTTACCATTAAGTCATATTTTTACATTGCAGCATTATATCCATGGTAGCAGTCAGGGACAGTTTGTAGTGGAGACTTACTTAGTCATGAGTCTCTGTATCCTTTTTTTTACCTGTCAAACTAAAATACTATTACATTATATACATTTCACACATATATAAGTATATTTGTGTGTGTGTGTGTATATATATATATAAGCTTTTTCTTCTGTTTTATTTTACTTTTATTTTTTATTTTATTCTCACTTTACTCCTTTATTTCTCATGACAAACATTACCAATCTGACACAACCTTCCCTAACTCTTGCCATTGTGCATGCTGCTGGATTCAAAGCTTACTAATTTATGACTGGACATTGAAAATGAAATGTTGTTCTGTAATAAAGTGTATCATCCCTGCTGCTAAAATCACTTGGTTTAGGAGACAATATTAAAAATTATTTAATTATTAAAAATATTATTTTAAATGATTACAAGATTAGGATATTATCTATTTTCTGTTGGAGATATTTTAATTTATATTTTAGTGCAAGAAAGATTAAAAGAAACAATTATGTATAACTCCATTTTCACTTTTTTAATAATAGTTTGTCATTGTAGATTTTTAAAAATAAATGTAAATAATATTTAAAATTATATTCAAAATTTTTATAAATATAAAATTTCAAGTAAATAGTTTAACTAAAGTGTGGGATTCATTTTTCAGTAAACTTATCTATTTTCTTGTATATTTAATATTATTTAATAACGAAATAATTTAAACTTCTGTATCTGATCCTATGACAAATTCATCATGTGTTTATAGGTTAAATAATTATTATTATTTGTATAGAATTGACTTCAGTGAAGAAATAGAAGTTTGATATGACTTTTAATAAAATACATGAAAAATAATGAAATTGTTTAACATTTATTATTGGCTGTTTGTATTATACTTTAAAGTTTCTGAAGAAAGATGAATTTGCACTTAAATGTGCTCACTTTATATTCTTGATCAGATACGGCCTAAACTTATCAACATTCATTAAATCTTTGGTTATTCCTACTCTAAACCATTTCACAAAGATGGATTGGGTTAGAAGGAATCTTTGCAGGGAATGATATGGACAATCATAGAAGCAATTATGTTTAGAAATTTTTATTTACATACACACACACACACACACACACACACACATATATATATATATATATATATATATATATATATATAGTCATTGCACCTTTATTGCATGTAATTTACTTTCTGTTTAATTTCTTTATTGCCCTTCATTAATCTGATCTTTTTTTTTCACGTTTTTTTTCTATTTTATTTTTGCGAATAGTATTTTTTGGCTTTCAGTATTTTAATTAGTTTCAGGATCAAATATCTTTTAAATGATAGATTAGATATAATCATAGAATGGAAATCTCTTATGAAGCTACTGAAAAAAATTGGCTTCTAACAGTCGGTATTCATTTTGCATAACCACTGGTGCCAAATAAAATGCAATGTTTTTTTTTTTTTTTTTTTTCTTTTTTTTATATTTTATTTTTATTGTGAGTTGCCAAAACAAACTTAATTTCCTTGGTTTTAACTGCAGACATCAGTTGGTAATGTTCTTTAGAATGGGTCCTTGGTTACCAAATTTCCAATAAGTGGTAATATTAATTTTCTGTCTTGCGTCATATAATGAAAAATAAAATACTTGTTTTTAGATTGATTGAGAATGTAAAGAAAGACATTTTTTTAATCAGTATACTTAGTAATTTATAATACATAGTTGTTTAAATTTTTATTTTCTAAGATATTTTTCCTTTTTATTTATTTATTTTATGTTAAAAGGTCCGTCTTCACCCACTTAAAAAAAAATTCTCTTTAATAAATTTTGACAAGAAACAACTCTTCAGAACTGTTGAGACTATTTTTGCTCAAAGTTATATTAAGAATATCTATAAATTTTAATTAGTGATATCTGAGGGTTGAATACCTATTAATGCTCAATTGATTAATTTGCTTTTTATAGCTTATCAACATTTTGGGAGTTATTCAAAAGATTTTGGATTGTAAGAATTTTTTTTTTTTCAGTGGGGTGGGGACTGAATATTGCATTATCAATTTTTCTTTTGAGAATAACAATTATTTTCTCAATACAAGTCCGACTATTTAACTCCTAGCTGAGAGGAAGAAGTTATCAAGGATAAATCCTGAAAAATTATTAGCTGTCATGAGATGCTACACACACACACACACACACACACAATCCTGATCAGTTGGAACTCTTGAATCAATTTGGTAGTTATTCTGTAAATTTTATATAGCTCCTTCACATCTTGTAATTTTTTATTTTTTTTTTAAAGGAGGGGGCTTAAAATTGCTTTTTTATTTTTTTTTCTGATATTAATTTTCTTAAAGTACAAAAGAGGATTACATTTCTTTAAAAAGTGAATTATATCTACTATTACTTTTTTATGTTGGTTCTTTACTCATTTATATATATTTTGCTGTGCATTTTTTCCTGGGAAATTGTAGTCAATTAGAATTTGAACTTACATTAACCAGGTCACTTGTTAGCACATGGATATGAAAAATATATTAAATATTGAGTTAGAACAAAAGTTTGTAGCATTTTTCAATAGGTGGCAATTTGAAAAAGTGATTGTTTCATATGTGACTGAAATTTTTGACATATATAGTCTAAATTAGCATTTCAACTGATCTTTCTATTTGATTTGTGTGTTGATAATGAATGATGCATTTTCATCTTTTGAAATTCTCTTGTTTCTGAAAAAGAATAAAAACTGTTCAAACAGTAAAAAAGATATGTGCCATTTATAGAGATGGTGCCATAGCTGAGAGTACTATTTGTAAATGGTTTGCTCGTCCTGGAATTGTACATTTTGTTCAAGAAGACCAAGTACATTCCATCAGGCTTGTAGTCATTATTAATGACTGAATCAAAATGATGAGTAAAAATAATTTAGGTCACATGACACGGGACATAAATGGTAATGCAATTATGCACATTATTGCACCAGCTGAAAAGCATCAGGAATTGGCCAATTGGAAGGGTACCATGTTCCATCAGGACAATGATAGACCTCATCTCTTTTTGCAGACTCAGCAGAAATTAGTACAATTTGACTGGGATTGTTTTACTATACCTGCTTTACTCACTTGACTTTTTACTTTTTGATTTAACAATTACTTTGATCCCTACAAAAATGAGAAGTACTTCACTTCTTTGGAAGCCTGTAAAAAACCATTTAGACCAGTGAGATACCCAGAAAAATTCAAAATTCTTTAAGGATAGAATTTGCCTCAAATACTGTAAAATAGTACATATATGGTTGAATCAATCTATGTACACCTATCTAAATATTGTCTTTGAAATTCTCTTAAAAAATCTCTACAATCTTTTGTTCCAACCCAGTATAATACAATAACTATTACCAACAAATGTCTAAAACTGTTGAATCAAGGTAATAGAAATAAAGGCAGATCTGCTGTGTTTAGAAGGTAATATAAACTGTATTCTTGTAGGGAACATGGAGGTGCTCAAAAATTCACACACACGTCTGAAAGATGACTATGATCATTTCTGTTTTTCATCCTTTGCAAAAAAGATAAGCTAATATGATATCAAGATGTTTAGCGGATTTATTTTTTCTTTTTTAATACTTGATATATTCTTGTATTCTTTATTGTCAAACTAGAAATATTCCTCTTAAGAAATGAAGAAAAACAAGCCTTTTCTTTAAAATTAAGTTTAATGAATTTATCAAGCAATCTTTTAATTTCTCCCCCCTAAATTCCATGAATGCACTCATGAGAATTTTTAATGATGCTTTATGTAAGATATGAACATTTTTATTCTTGTTATGTCATTAAATTTAATTTATTAAAAAGTTTTGAAAATTCATGGACAGGTCCTTTCGAAACTAATGGCATGTTTTAATGCAATGAAAAACATAATGGAAAATGTTAAATGATTGAAAAAGAACTGGAATTTATTCTGTGGGGAATGTTTTAAATCCAAATAAAAAAATATTTTTTCATTTGTCAGTTGTAGCCAAATTTAATGTTAATGAAAATCTGTTTAGAGGGACACTTTTTAAAATAAAGCAATTCAGCTTTCTAAAACTGGATCAGATTAAAGATGGTACAAATTAGTTAAAATTGGCAAAAGTATTTTTTGAACATTTTTATATGTATATCACTTGCTATGATAGGTTGGGATTAATCTATAAAAATGTTTTAACAAATATCATTTTCAGTTAAGAGAATTTAACATTCAGAAAGCTATTTGAGGGAATAGTTTTAAACATGAAAAATTTCAGTAGCTGAATTATGCTAATGTATATTAGTAACTTGGCTCTTAGTAAATTAAGCTATTATTGAATATTTGTTAAGTATGGCCTTTAAATCCTGATTTATATAGTTATTGTTTCAAAAGGAAGTGAGTAGAAACCTTTTTTTCTTTTTAAATATCTTTAAAAAAAAGAACTGATCACTAGCAGATAACCTTGAGAATGTTCTCTTAAATACTTTGTGAATGTCTTGCTAAGAAGGAAATGTTAAGGAATGTGGTACAAAACTTTACAATACCATTTTGCATTACTTTTAGAAAATTCCTGTTGAATTACCAAAATTTGGTGAGATACTGTCTTTTCTATATTTCCTTAAACTGTATGTACAAGACTTTGTAATTAACATGTGGGAGGAAATTTGTAGCAGGTGTTTGGGTAATTATTCCAAATTACAAATCCAATTAATTATTATTGAAATTTATTTATTCCAAATTGATCTATAAACAATGAGGATATGATTTTTTTTTTTTTTTTTTTAGGTGTTTTTAGCAATAGGCTTTGTGTTTCCTAATTCAATTTCTGAATGGAACACCTGCTTCATTGAGGTTAACTAACTCTTAATCTGCCAAGGTCTCATACCATTCTGTTTATGTAATTGTATTTTGTTGAATTAACAACCAAGATGGATTTGTCTTGTCTCATCATTTATAATAAATGGAAGATGGAGTAGTTATCGATAAGAAATTTAATTATGAGTAGATATTCAAATAGTTCGAAAAAAGTGTTGATTTAGATGGGAATTGGGGT